TTCTCAACAAACAAGCAATTTCAATTTGCTGCAAATGTTATGGACCAGAGTCCTTTTCTGCGACTCCCTAACTAAAGATTGAGCATTAACAAACACCTCTGTTTTTTTGTTTAGAAGTGGTTGGGGGTTTTTTTGACATTTGGGGGCTTAGGATATATATTCACAAAGGCTTCAAAAACTTAAAACATCAGCTACCACCTGCATCCGACAAGGTCCCCTCTCACCCACTCCATACTTAAGGACCCTACAACTAACTCCAATGTCTGTACTAAGGAGGAAAATCTGACAATCCTTTGCAGGAAAAACCTCTAGTAATTTGTTATGTACCAAAATCTGCTTTTCTGAATCACAGCAGATCTCCGTCACCGTAAAAAAATTGCCTACTTCCTTCACACACTACAGTTAAGACTCAAATAGTGAAGAAAATGCAGCATATTTCTGTCTGGAGCTTCTGAATAGATCACTTTGTGAAGTTGAGCGTAGCATGAAAGCCATTACCAAGCTTCACATGTATTTAGGACATCTGAATTCGTCAGAATCTGTATTTCAAGCAAAATTAGACACTGTGTACATGAGAAATCCACTGAAATTAAGTATATCAAGCCTAATACATAACTCTAATATCACAACCAAGTGTTTAACAGTCTTTTCATAAGGCTGCCTCCAGCTTCCCTTCCCTTAGTCACTTTTTTCTCCTTCCTGGATTCACTTTGCCATCTGAGAGCAAGATGGTGTAGAAGACAACTGTCAACCTTTGCCTTAAATCTCCCTTTTCAACTTCCAAAACCAACCATTTGTTTGATCTACTTAGGACTGCATCTTTTCACATAGCAGTCCTCACCAAATCTTGCTGTTTCTCCTAAACTAGCCCTGTTGTCATGTAGGCCATGACCTGATGATTCTTATCTCACCTGTTACAATTCCCTCTTTAGCCACCCGCTCCTAATAATGAAACAACAGTCAAAAGCCTACACCCTCCATGCTTTTACATTAAGCTTCAGTTCTTTGCTCTCCAATAGCTTTTCCACCCCATCTCATTGGATTTTCTTATCAGTGCTACAAGGAGCACTGCCCAATAAGAAGAATGCACAGGCCAAACTCTGTCTATAAATAAAAAAAACCAGAGAACCATTTTGCTTCTGAAAAGTGAATGACATTCCTTTCAACCTTTCAAGGCCCTCACTATAACATTTTGGAGCTTCTAGAAAGTAATCTATTTGTAAAACACTCTAATGCACAGTAGAAAGCCATATTTTTTTAATCTAATTGTTTTAAGACTAAGCTGTCAGGACCTTTCTCCTCCCCTCCTTTTTTTAAAAATGCTTTACACACTGGAAAGCAAAGTTTTAGCAGTATACAAGTCGCATGCAGCCTGTGAGGACCAGTCATCTCATTAACAAGTCTACTCTACCCAACAGCCTTTTCCTGAGTAACTCAGGAGTAGCACGTCCCTTGGTGCAGAAAGAGCACATCAAACTGCAACCTGCAACCAATTGCTACTTTCCTCTGCAATCTC